CTTGATGACAAACGAGGATGCATCTGCACATCACCACTTCATCTCCCACAGATCTCGAAGATGATGAAGATCAGGTATTTACTTGCCACTACTAAGGTCAATGTTGACAGATACCTGCTATGGTTGTGGATATATCAGTGGGCAAGTGTTGAGAGAACTTTCTGAACTTTCTGAGTTATGATCGGACATGACTAAGGTGACAATTTGCTGTGTTACGTCACCTATTGTACAAGCGGATCCATTCAATCTACAACCGTGTTAAAGTCTTGATTTCACCTCTGTTGACAAAGACCCGATACGTTCCGGGTTAGAATTGATCTAGAAACCTATACTTCTCTTCAAAAGCTTAGACTCACTGAAAACACTCACTATATGTTATGTGTGTATATATATGGTTACATCAAAGAAGGATTTCTCCACTAACTTGGGAGAACCAACTGCAAAGCTTATGCAGATGAACTGCACAAGGATCATGCATCAAATTGCTGAAAAGCATGTGTAAATATCGTGCATGTGAACAGCTACGTTTTGGTGTAAAGTTTTGTTAAGAATTCGCCAATTTTCACTGATTTTTATCATTTACTGAACTAATGACAATAATCTTTTCAACGTTACGAATTTGTTTTACAATACAACAGTTCATGTGTAAACAGTACTTTGAAACAGTATGGAATGGAATATTTTACCAAATTTAGTTTAGAACAGTTGCCAGAAGTAAATGGCCATATTTACACTAGTGAGTGTAAACTTTTGATGAGAGTGAGTGAGTGAGTTTAGTTTTACGCCGCACTCAGCAATATTCCAGCTATATGGCGGCGGTCTGTAAATAATCGAGTCTGGACCAGACAATCCAGTGATCAACATTATGAACATTGATCTGCGCAACTGGGAATCGATGACATGTGTCAACCAAGTCAGCGAGCCTGACCACCCGATCCCTTTAGTCGCCTCTTACGACAAGCATAGTCGCCTTTTGTGGCAAGCATGGGTTGCTGAAGACCTATTCTACCCCGGATCTTCACGGGTCCTTTTATTGAGAAGTATATATGGTCGTAATAGGCGACTAAAGAGATCCGATGGTTAGACTCGTTGACGTTGATGATGCATTTCATCGTAGCCAATCTCATAGATCGATGCCAATGATACTAATCACTGGATTGTTTGGTCCAGACTGTTAAGTACACCGCCGACATATTGTGAGTGTTGTTAAATAACACACAAACTATCATCAAGGACAAAAGCAGTGTGTCAACCAAAGTCTGTTCCATCAGCTAGCAAGGGGATGAATTAGGGATCTGACATTCCTACTGAAATGAATCCCGAAAGGTCTAACTGGTCATTATTACGTTAATTTGTTTTGGCAGCTGCCTGAGAATGGCAATTACGTACTTATTGATTTGACATAACATAGTGCAACATTTTAAGGGATGTAAAGCCACGACATTTTTGTGAAAGAGTGAAGTTATAAAATACCCAGTGGTGATGGTTTGTTTGTTTGGCATTCAACAACACTGAAGCTATATGACTACGTGTGTATGATCCACCTTAGATCAAACAAAATATAGGATATCTTTCATGAGAAACAACCCACGCCGTTGGGGCACGTTGACGCACTATAATTAAGTAATGGAGCCTGACCCTCTCACAAGGTCGCCTCGTCAGACAAGAACAGATTGCTCAGTTCCACTTTCACACTCAGAGAGGCGATGACCTATTTAATGCAGTAGAGTTGAGTGGCCTGAATAAATATTCATGAACGAATGAAAGTTTCTGAAATTACTGTCGCTTCACAAAATACTCTTAAGAAGTAAGGGTATCGTGAAATACAAACGTTAGTAAAAGTTTTAAAGAAAGGTAAGCGTTTCTTTGAGAGGCATTTTAGAAGTTGTGCAGATGAAGGAAAACTAAGTTCTATGGATAGTCAACTTCTTTATTGCAATGAGTGCGACGTTTCGGTGTAGGTACTACACGTTGACAACAAAAATCCGAGAAGAGAAGAGAAGACATTTTATGTCTGTAAAACACCAACCATCCTTGAGTTTGCTTAACACAAGCGTGGGGTATATTTTGTGATTAACTCCATCAAGGACGGTAAATTAAAATATGTGGACCATCATTTCTGATTGGTGATGTTTGATTATGTACATCTACATGCACATATATGTATCAAACATTATGAAGTGATTTAAATGACTGTACCTAAAAAATGGAAATAAATAAAAAAAAAAAAAAATTCTGATTGATTCTTCTTATCATACAGTCATGATTAACAGGATTTCATTAATTGTTTCTGTATAAACTCGCTAGAGCTATTGCCAGGTTGAAACTGGCAAAAGTTATCATGCAGTACACTGCGTTCTTTGTTACTGATTAGCATACTGGGGAACAGGTTCCAACAAACCCACAATATTGGCGTTTGATCCCGTTCTTCAGGGCGTCTTTAGTCAATGACAAGGGTACAAGATCTACGAAATCGAGCGCAAACGGCAAATCAATTCATTACAAGTATTCAATGGGCTACTGGGTCTGCAAGAGGAGTTGGAGAGACTCCCTCTAAACTAAATTGGAAGACTCACACGGCGTTTGCCTCGTCAGCTGTGACTCAATGTTTATCAAATAGTTGCGATATTACAAACTACTCCTAAAATCTATTGAAATTCCCAATACGATCATTATTATTATGCACACGTTTCTAGAAACTAATATATAGCAGAGTTGTATAAATGCAGGTCAGCAACAATACACGTGACTGCCACGGGACTTGGGTAAGGATTTAATATACAGTCTAAACGGGGCACTATGGCGACTGAATAAATGTTGGACAAACCGTTTGAAAGTTACCAGTTTATCCCTATTTTACACCTGTTGACCTTACAGTTCAACGACGGTCATCTGCTGTCATACTTCACTACTGGCTGTTACGTGTTCTCAATTCGATAGTTATTATCACACAACCATAGTCAGAAATTAATATCTCCTATAACATTGAAAATGCTAAGTTATTCTGAATAGCTCCTCCTTGTTTTGACCGGCATAAATACAGGTCAGTAAAAGGTTACGTGTCTGTCACGTGACGTGGGTGAGTGTTTCGTAGGTAGGCTAATCGTGCGACTATGGCAGCGTCTGCTATCCCAATTATTGACTTGCAGAAGTACGGACTGAATGTTACCGACCCCAAGTCCGTGACGAGTGACGTCCTGGAGACCACGGCCAGGGAGATATATGATGCCTTTAGTACAATAGGCTTTCTGTACCTGATTAATCATGGGATCGAAGAAAGAAAGGTAAACAGCATGTCCTGTTTCTAATGTATTGTGGACCATGTCGAGATGTTGTAGTCCACGGGCAGGCCCAATTGTGCCCATAGTTTAGCTATTAAGAAAGGTAAACAACATATTCAGTTTTTAATGTATGTACAATGTTGAAATGTTGTAGCCCTAGGAAGGGTCGATGTTTTTGCTTATAATAGTTACCTCCCTTAGTTACAAGAGGATCCGTTCCGTCGTGGGTCCGAATGAAAGATTTTGAGGTTTAACTTTCTTTGAATAGCAACATAATGCTGTCATCCATGACACATATATAGTGTATATTGACAGAGTCCAGTACGTATCCTACATTCAATGTTAATGTATTGAGATATGCAACCCCACACGTTAAATTTCGGACTGTACTTTAGGCGCTCATACAAAGGTTTTTCAGTTTGTTTGGTCCAGAATTTCAGTGTATTAGGAAACAGCCACACAAACTTTCATCTGAGAAAATCACACTGTCCCAGTTAAAATTTCTATGCTGTAAGCACCAGTTCGATCTTCGCTCCTTTTCTTCAGGTTTCATGATCGGTGATGGAATTCCTCGACTTTTCTGCCTACACATTGCATGCAGCTCAGTTCTAATTGTCTCCTTACAGACAGCCACAGTTCCTCTATCAATCATATCCAGCCTTAAGTTTTCTAAACTCCTTCGTTTGTTTTTAGAAACAAGAATACCAAGCCTCCTCCTGTCACCGACAGTCAATTTTCTGGGCCTACCTGCGCCTCGCTGGTGCTCAATGCCATATCCATTTGCAATATTTTTCAAACCACGATAAACAGTGGACAAAGGGATGCCTGTTCTACTTGAAATTACTTTAGCTGATCTGATGTCCTTGTTATAATACTCTAAAATCAACTTCCTCTTCTCTAAATCATCCATATTGAGGATCATTGAAAATGTCGTCTGCTAGCAAGTAAACAAAGGGAGATAACTCTTCACAAACTAACGAAAAAAGAATTAACGGAACTGTCTCTCTTGAATGAAACCAAGCACTTGATAGCAGGTCAAGGTTGTTTACACTAGAAATCAAATTAAACGTATTCCTAAAATTCTCAATAATTTCTGGTCATACTATATGTATCAAACATTATGAAGTGATTTAAATGACTGTACCTAAAAAATGGAAAACAAAAAATTCTGATTGATTCTTCTTATCATAACACGATTAACACGATTTCACAATTGTTTCTGTTTAAACTTGCGCTAGAGCTATTGCCAGGTTGAAACTGGCAAAAGTCATCATGCAGTACACTGCGTTCTGTGTTACTGATTAGCATACTGGGGAACAGGTTCCAACAAACCCACAATATTGGCGTTTGATCCCGTTCTTCAGGGCGTCTTTAGTCAATGACAAGGGTACATGATCTACGAAATCGAGCGCAGACGGTAAATCAAGTCATTACAAGTATTCATTGGGCTACTGCGTCTGTAAGAGGAGTTGGAGAGACTCCCTCTAAACTAAATTGGAAGACTCACACGGCGTTTGCCTCGTCAGCTGTGACTCAATGTTTAACAAATCGTTGCGATATTACAAACTACTCCTAAAATCTTTTGAAATTCCCAATACGACCATTATCATTATGCACACGTTTCTAGAAACTAATATATAGCAGAGTTGTATAGATGTAGGTCAGCAACAATACACATGACTGCCACGTGACTTGGGTAAGGATTTAATGTAGCAGCCTAAACGGGCCACTATGGCGGCGTCTGCTATCCCAATTATTGACTTCCAGAAGTACGGACTGAATGTTACCGACCCCAAGTCCGTGACGAGTGACGTCCTGGAGACCACGGCCAAGGAGATATATGATGCCTTTAGTACAATAGGCTTTCTGTACCTGATTAATCATGGCATTGAACAAAGAAAGGTAAACAGCATGTTTTGTTTCTAATGTATTGTGGACCATGTCGAGATGTTGTAGTCCACGGGCAGGCCCAATTGCGCCCGTAGTTTTGCTATTAAGAAAGGTAAACAACATATTCAGTTTTTGATATATGAAGAATGTTGAAATGTTGTAGCCCTAGGAAAGGTCGATGTTTATGCTTATAATAGTTACCTCCCTTAGTTACAAGAGGATCCGTTCCGTCATGGGTCCGAATGAAAGGATTTGAGGTTTAACTTTCTTTGAATAGCAACATAATGCTGTCATCCATCACACATTTAAAGTGTATATTGATAGAGTCCAGTACGTATCCTACATTCAATGTCCATGTATTGAAACAGAACCGTCATCTATTACTGCAAATCTGAGACGTTTTGCACGTTAAATTAAAGCGAATGGTTAACAACAGTTGTAACTGCGTCTGGAAAGACCCTGTTGACGAGGTTATCCGGGATCAAAGCCACCTTGCACTTGTTATATAATACAAGTAGGTCACGCCGTGATGTAATAGGGCGTCTCTGATTCCACTTGTACCTATCAGTTGTTGACTTTTCAACTAAAGATATGTGTCGTGTAAGTGACAATGAAGGCTGAAGTACCGTGTTTGTCTGACAGTATGGACTGGCTCGTGTCGGGTGTGTGAGCCCCTTGACCAGATGTGTACTCTTTCATCATGTTCTGGCTTGTTTGGCAATGAGCAAGTAAATAAAGTTTTGTGAATATGTGTCATTCGCAGCGCGTTCATGCTGTCACATGTTTCTAGATAGGCATAACCCGTGGATAGTGGATATTCATACACTACCAGTCATATCTCATCCATGCAATGTGTATATCAATACAGTGCCGTCATATCTCATCCATGAAATGTGTATATCAATACAGTGCCGTCATATCTCATCCATGCAATGTGTATATTAATACAGTGCCGTCATATCTCATCCATGCAATGTGTAAATCAATACAGTGCCGTCATATCTCATCCATGAAATGTGTATATCAATACAGTGCCGTCATATCTCATCCATGCAATGTGTATATTAATACAGTGCCGTCATATCTCATCCATGAAATGTGTTTATCAATACAGTGCCGTCATATCTCCCCCATGCAATGTGTATATTAATACAGTGCCGTCCTATCTCACCTATGGAAAGTATATATTAATATAGTCCCGTCTTATCTCACCTATGGAAAGTGTATATTAATACATTGCCGTCTTATCTCACATATGGAAAGTGTATATTAATACAGTCCCGTCATATCTCACCTATGGAAAGTGTATAATAATACAGTCCCGTCATATCTCACCTATGGAAAGTGTATAATAATACAGTCCCGTCATATCTCACCTATGGAAAGTGTATATTAATACAGTCCCGTCATATCTCACCTATGGAAAGTGTATATTAATACAGTCCCGTCATATCTCACCTATGGAAAGTGTATATTAATACAGTCCCGTCATATCTCACCTATGGAAAGTGTACATTAATACAGTGCCGTCATACTTCACCCATTAGAACAAAATACCCTCATCAGTCGACCATGCAGTGTTATATTCATACTTTGCTTGTTTCCTTCACGATGTTTGCCGTTGTACAAAACTTAGCGCTGCTCAAAGGTGACCGAGCTCCCATACCTTAACATAGGCTTATGCATTACGACAGTCCTAGCGCTAAGGTTGTTTTGTACAACTGTACACAGGTCGATGAATGTGGTATTGTTATTCCAGGTCGATGCCATGTTCTCTGTGTCCAACACCTTCTTTGATCAACCCGTGGAAGAGAAAAGGAAGTCTGCTCGAGTCCAGGCAGATCATGGTGACCATGGCTGGGTTGACTTGGAAAGCGAATCGTGAGTCACTGAATAATTGTAGCCTTATTTTTACTTCAGTTATTTGGTAGCTCCGTCCATTTTTGTAGTTGATTTATTAATGAAATTAAATTTGATTTTAAATTGTTTACAGCCTGACTTGTTCGGAGACAACTAATTATCTGACAAATTCATTTTTGTACCATGTCCACTACATACTAAATTGGTTAAAGGTCACATGCAACCAAAAAATCAAACATAATTAAAACACAATTATCACTTCTTCATGACATATAATATGCATTGCTGAAAAAACAAATAACAAAATTATAAGGGTATAATCGCTAATCAAAAGTGCAATATTTTGTACTTGGGTTTACCTCCCTCGAAAGGAAGCAGCCGGGATACCGAACCCAGTCAGAGCGGGTGGATGTGCACTCAAGTGTAACGGCTGGTTCATTAGCAGATGCCGCCTCCACGGCTCATTGTGTGTGTATATATAAAAAGTTGGGTTTTGTAAATACATGCTCATTTTTTGTGTATAACATTTTGCAATCAACAGACATCATAACATGTCATGTGTTCAAGTATCACACCTGCCTGTCTGTGTAATTACATAATGTGACAGAGACCGAACTCGGGCCATAAATCAATGCGTTTTGTTTATGGTGTATAGCCTGATTGGTGTTAAGTTCAAATTGCATGTGGTCAGTGATCGAGGTTGTGTATTGAATATTGTCATTAGCAGACAGGCAGGCAGACACACAGGTGTCAATAAAACAAGACACTGAGTTTTGTCTGTGACAGCGACATATCTATATCACAGTTAGAAATTGTGTCAACTCTAAATAATGACATTGCTTTTAAGTATCGAACTGAGAAAGTGACTCGGTAAGAAGAACGTGTGGTGAAACAGACAAATGAAATTAAATAAACAGTTTATTTACTGTCATAACATACAAATAGCTCACACCAAAGCCTTCACCGAGTATTCACAAGACAGCCCACTTCCAAGTTGCGCGAACCTATTTCACTGCGCACGTGCTATGAGCGCAGCCCAGCTGTTAAAACCCGTATTCCCCAGAAAAGTCTGGGGAAAATTAGTGAAACGTTTGAACTCCGATTTCGCGCGTTTTTTTTCATCGCGTTATTTTTCAACTTTATAAGTTAAATTTGCATTTTTGACGCTTTGTTTCGGTAAGTCCATACCGAAAGGTATCAGAATCTGCAAAGTTGTGTTTTGCGTTGCATGTGACCTTTAAGGCAGATAACGGGAAAGGTTTCCTTTAGCCTTGTCCAAAGTCTACTGATTATAGGGAAGTTGCGGAGATCCATACTGTTCAAAACGGCTCAGTTCAGTGATATCTCTTTGTTTATTTCCCCAAAAGGTTGAACCCCGAGCGAAATGTTGGAGATTTGAAGGAAGCGTTCAACTTTACACCCGGACATGATGGGGTATTTACGATTGTTCATTATCAGGAATGTGTATCCTGCTTGAAGCTCACCTGGCTGAACGTAATAATGCTTATTGCATATGTCATGGCCTGCATATCTCCAAGGATATACGTAAAGACTGCTCATAAGAAATCTTTTTTTTGCTGAATCTTGGAATGCTTGTAACCACTATGGTGCCACTTGAACATTTCAAGACTCTTTTGAAGAATTTCAAGTAATTTCGAGTATAGCCGCATGTAAAATGTGTAACAATAACAGGATGAAATTACATTTTCGTTTCGTCTGTGATGCATATGTAATGTTGGGAGGTTTATATTTATAATGTAGTGATACCAGTATTGTTCCACACACTCTGCAGTTTATTAAGTATACCCTGGTGATCAAAAGTGTGTAAATACCAAACATGTATATTATCTTGTATAAAATGAATTTTTGTTTCACGTGATTGTGCATGGCCCGATGGCCTAATTGCAGAAATAAACTCATTCATTCATTATCGAAAAAACACCAAAAACCTATGGAAGCCAGATTGAAATTACCTTTTGTTGTGGTAGCTTTGTATTCCGATTGTACTGAAACCCGACGAGTGAGTAGTTTCTAATGGACTCAAGATATAACATACAACATACCGTTCTTTAGCAGTGATGTGGATATTAATCTATACTTGACGTTTGCACATACCAAGAAACTAAAACTTTGTGTGAGTGATAAGATCTATGAAAGCGAATTATTTTAGCTCAAGGCATTCAATTGGCGATGGGATAGCCTTGTGGTTAAATCGTTCGCTCGTCACGCCTAAGGCCCGGGTGTGATTCCTCACATGGGTACAATGTGTGAAACCCATTGCCGGTGTCCCCCGCCGTGATATTGCTGGAATATTGCTAAAAACGGCGTAAAATTAGTCTCACTCACTCAAGGAATTCATCGTTTAGCGACACACTGTTACAAAACTTTCTTTTGCATCAAGTGTTCTCACATACACTTCATGTTGCTATTAAAACTTGGAAATTGTTTAAAAGTCTTCATATGAACCATATTTTGAACCAAGAAAAGTGAACAGACATTTTCAAACTTTTGAGTTCGTCATGTAAGGCGCATCACTTCTCTGTGCACAGTTTCGCCCCTTGTGTGTGCCAGGAACCTATTACCATGTGTTCGAATCCCGGTTGATTCTGATCATGTATCTTGGTTTATCAGCATCATGTGGATTATAGTGTGTTACACCAAAGTGGTAGACAGTTACGACCTGCCTTACTTTGGCATTTCATCCACTATAAAGCTGAAACATTGTGATGTAACTGAAATGTGGTGGTTTACTCCACCCTCAGCTATAAAGAACACATTCCGACAATAGCAATCCCTTGTGAGTTAATACGATAAGTATTATTTTATGTACGCAAAACAAACTATTTTCTTAATTATTATTCATGGGCAAGTCTTAGGTGATACATTTATGTACAATATCGTTGGAAAAAGGAATTCTTCCTAAGTAGATTTTCGAAATACTGCCCTTGTGTTACTATTCGCAGGGATATTAATTTGCTAAGTGATGTCATAAGTATAAAACTGTGGAAAAATGGCTTCATGTCAGCAATTCATGAAAATATCTGATTATTTTCATACCTATACCTTCAAAAACCTTAAGTTTTATACAGAGGTTCACATAGGTCAATTATCCTACCATGTCCTTTATACAGCCCCCTTCAAATCCTCCTAGGTGACACAAGAGTAAGGTTGGTCTGTTACAGCTGTGGCCGGAGAACCCTGCGGAATTTAAGTCCACGTTCGTGTCATTCTATGATGACTGCAGAGACTTGACAGACAGGATCCTTGATGTCCTGTCTATCAGCCTCAAGCTTCAGGTACGACACCCATCGTTGATTCATGAGATGAATTATGCCCTGTCTACCGGTCTGAAACATGAGCCATTACATTTAAGATGGTCCTGCTTTTGAGAATAGTCAAGATAGTCTGATTTCAGATTCAATTACTCCACCTTTTGGAATCAGATTTCAGTTTCATGTTTCAGTATCGGAAATTTCAGTTTCTGTATCTGTTCCAGAATTCAATTTGTCTTCGTAATTCAGGATCGCTATTACCTGCGTGAGTGTCTCAATTCCTCCCCGTGTTCTAGGATCGCTATTACCTGCTTGAGTGTTTCAATTTCTCCCCGTGTTCTATGATCGCTATTACCTGCGCGAGTGTCTTAATTTCTCCCCGTGTTTTAGGATCGCTATTACATGCTGGAGTGTCTCAATTTCTCCCCGTGTTCTAGGATCTATTTTACCTGCCTGAGTGTCTCAATTTCTCCCCGTGTTCTAGGATCGCTATTACCTGCGCAAGTGTCACAATCTGATGGGCAAGAAAGGCGGCGCCACCACACTGAGAAGTCTGTACTACCCCTCTCTGCCTGAATGTAAGGATTGTTACTGCTCAGTGTGAAATGGGTTGAACTGTTGCAGTTGCTTTGTATAAAACGTTGAGGTGTGTCTTTCTGTAAGGGAGGGGTCTGGTGGTAATTGTCGGGAAAGGGTGTAGGGTGTGAATAATGAACTGTATAACTGCAGTTTCAAATATACAATTCTCTCTTACGAGTACATATGCAATCTAATAAATTACAGAGACTTTCCAATTCTGCATCTACAGCCGTGAAGCCAGGTCAAGTTCGCTGTGGAGAGCACTCCGACTATGGGACAATAACACTGCTGTTCCAGGACGACATTGGAGGCTTAGAGGTAAGGTTCTTAATGTGTTTCTGGACAAAAAACGACACGAACTGAGCATGACAAAATGAAACTATAGTGATGAATATAGAGAACAGGTAGCACTTTATTCATTGAATACATATTTCAGTTTGAAAAAAACAAAACATTTTAAGTTTCTTCCGTGAATGCTTTTTTTCTTTTCTTATCATGATGTGGACATGAAGCACAACAATTACGAGGGGCGTTCAAAAAGCAGTCAACCTCACTTACAAAATGATACAAATGCAGCTGTTTTTGTCTTTTATTTCTCTACTTATTATCTGTCAAACTGAAGCAAATTGGTTTTGCTATGTTTCAGCCTCACGATCCCCATTTTATTTGACTTTTTATCTTGCTATTCCCCCAGAACGCGAAGTCTGCAATAAATGCATCACAAACTTCAGGAAACAAAATATGCACTACCGACCCCCGTTCAGATGACGTAATCATAAGGACGTAACTAATTCTAATGTTTTCACTTATTCATACATGGTGCCATGGGTTCAAACTAAATACTGAATGGTCACACAAGTTTCAGCTCTCAAAATGTTGTAAACAATGCCAGCTTGAATATCTGGGCACAATGTTGTTGAGAACATGAATTCGTTAGTGTTCATATATCGCGTTAAAGTTAGTGTGCAAACATACATAATATGATATGGTTCAGGTGATGAGTGCTGGCGGCGTATTTGTGGTGTTGGTGATGAGATGAGATGAGATGTATGTGATATGACATGTTTCAGGTGATGAACACTGATGACATGTATGTGGTATGACATGTTTCAGGTGATGAATGGTGATGACGTGTGGTATGACATGTTTCATGTGATGAACACTGATGACGTGTGATATTACATGTACCATCTGATGAACACTGATGACGTGTGGTATGACATGTTTCATGTGATGAACACTGATGACATGTGTATGACATGTATCATCTGATGAACACTGATGACGTGTGGTATGACATGTTTCATGTGATGAACACTGATGACATGTGGTATGACATGTTTCAGGTGATGAACACTGATGACGTGTGGTATGACATGTTTCATGTGATGAACACTGATGACATGTGGTATGACATCTTTTTAATGTGATGAACACTGATAACATGTGGTTGACATGTTCCAGGTGATGAACACTGATGACAGGTATGTGCCGGCTAAGCCTGTCCCCGGCGCCATCGTGGTCAACATTGGTGATATGATGCAGCGATGGACTGCGGATCAGCTTAAAGGCACAGTGAGCAAACGTTACTGTATAGAACCAAACGTAGCATCACGCAAAATTGTGAAACTTGTGTAAATGAACTGCAAGCTCAAAATGACCTTCTATGAATGTGTCGTGTACATTGACGCTAATGATGTCAGCCACTAGACTGTCTGGTTTAAACAAGATTATTTACAATTACTTATAGCGTTACACAAACAAAAAAACCCATCAAGATGTGTGTGTGTGTGTGTGTGTGTGTGTGTGTGTGTGTGTGTGTTTATGTAGAGTAGTGGACTTAACTATCATTACCTATGAGGGCGAAGATATCGGGGTTCATATATTTCATATGATGCCCAATTGCACAATATCAATGTGTCATGGCTACGCGACGTCATGAGCAATGTTATGACGTCATGTGTCTTCTATGACGTTGCGCCCTACATGCGGTGACGGCGGGTAGCCAGCCTATGTTAGACAGTAGATTTTTATTTTTATTTTCTTCAATTTCACGCCTTCGGTAATGAAAAGAACATTATATTCGTGCCCATATCATAGTATGTTTATGACACGAGTGCATAAATGTTGGTATTTACCCAGCGAGAGCTACCCGCCGTATGAAAAATATTAACCTCATATTTTCGCCCTCGTAGGTAATAATGAATGTCCCTTGAAAATACAACCGCCGCAGCGTCCGGATTCTTATACATTTATATTTACAACCTCTCTGTGGCCAAGTTAAGATCAGTGAGTAGTTGAGACCAGTCAGTTTCAGATTGGGGTAACTGCCTGTGTTTATGGCGTGAAGAGTCAATCTTGTCAGTCACAGATTGGTTAAATTAGGTAAAAACGTCAGAGTGCATGGTGACGTCACAAACAGTATGTAGACGTTAATCCCATGTTCTTTGGGCAAGCCAAATCTAAGAATAACTTGTACCAACATAGTACATGATGTCTGCTACAATGTTTTATCGTTCAGCTGTTCAGCTGATCATGGACACCTTGAGCTTGTGCAAGAAAACGGTACATGAATGGCTGAAAGTGTGTAATACGGGCTGTAACTCTGATCAGTATTCACATAGACAGGCGGCGGGTAATGTCCACATTAAGAGAAGTAACGGCATGAAGGGTCTGATCTGGTCCGACATAGCTTGGTAAAAGTCCACGTGGAACGGTCTGACGTATCAAATAGTACGTCGATGTTATCCCCGTGTTCTTATTCCACTTGGCCTACACGACATACGAACTACAAAGATGTGGTTCAGCTGTTAAGGTGATTATGGATAAGGGAACGTTACCTGATTAGCTGAAAGTTTTGAATACGGGATGTAACATCAATATTCCGCAGAATTGTCAATATCCACAGTAAACGTCTTGGGCTGCTACTCACACCGACATCCGCGGCGGGTAATGCCCACAGGTTAGTGTTGAAGCTTGACTTCATGCCCTAGGTTAAACATATGCTAGAACGGCCATCCTCACATATAGCTAAGTCATGGCGTCCATGACCTGACCTGAAATCATGATTGTTATTGAGGAACTTTGTTCCCTCTTGTGTCAAGTATATCCTCCACGTTTCTTATTTTCAGAAACACCGGGTCCTGATTCCTGAAGCGGAAGTTAAGAAACATCAGAGTCGACAATCAGTTGCTTTCTTTGTCAACCCTAATAGTGATACCATGATTAAATGTCTGGATGGTTCAGACAAATATGAACCAATCTCATGCGAGGACTATCTGAACTATAGGTTCAGTCTGACCTTTTAGTTATGGAGGCAAGAACTTGCCAACATTGCTTGAGAAATCTTATCCTTAACAATTAAACCATATGTTTTGCCGCTTCATCGTGTGCGTTTCATACCCTACTTTTACAGGATGGTAATGCTGGTAGACATCCCGACAACAATGGTACAAGAATATTCATTTTGAGCATCATTAAAATTATATGAGGTTAGATACATTTTAGGGTATAACTTGAATCTTGGTTAGAAATCACATATAGTACTTGGCTTGTTAGTTCTAAATATACAGACTAAGGTGATCATATGTAAAGCTCATTGTTGTTATTTGTGACACGGTAGTCAGTCGTCTAAGGCTCCGCAAATATCTGTGCAGAGTTGCTTCCCTATGACACGCCAGAAACCTATGCTGTGGGTTAGGTGAATGAGTGAGTGAGTTTAGTTTTACGCCGCACTCAGCAATATTCCAGCTATATGGCGGCGGTCTGTAAATAATCGAGTCTGGACCAGACAACCCAGTGATCAACAGCATGGGCATCGATCTGCACTTTTGGGAACCGATGACATATGTCAACCAAGTCAGCGAGCCTGACCACCCGATCCCGTTAGTCGCCTCTTACGACAAGCATGGGTTACTGAAGGCACATTTCAACCCGGACCTTCACGGGTCTGTGGGTTAGAATACCGATTGGGTATTGTGCCACAGTGGTTAGGGTCGGTGATTTGTCTGGTACAGAGTTATTTGGGCACACAAACAGCACACACAGTCAGCGAATTGAAAGTTGCTGCGAATGAAATGTTATTACATTGACTGACAATTTTGTCAAGGTACAGGAACGATCAAGAGTCCATAACGCATCTTGCATATGCAAAATGCCACCATACTATTATGACAATCCATCCCATGATAAATTTGTCTCATTGATGTCAACAACATACTCTGTTCTTATAAAGAAGATCACATTGTTCCTCAAAAGAAATGTATCATGTTAAGTAGTCTTGCATTGTATATCAATATGTCTTGCTCACTGTAGGATGATTTTTGTATCTTAGCACTATGGGCCATGAGGCCGCAAATGCAAAAATATACTTGTCACTTGTCACACACTTAAACCACATCACAGAAGGGGTCTACAAGAATGTTTACAGGATCACTAGCGATTCTATGAACCTTTTTCGTTGATGCAAGCCTGTCAACTGCGCCTCATTAAGACCTCTGAAGGTTGATACGTTCCTGCGATCATTATTTTGTTGTCACTTTAAGCTGTTTGTTACGAAGGGGGAACCACTTGAGGGCAGAACAGTCAGGTAACCAACAAGCGTGTGCAGTGAAATTTCAATTTCACACGTACAACTTGCACACTTGGCTGTTCTACCAGCAAGTGTACCTCCTTCGTAGGAAATAGAGAAAAGTGATAACAAAATAATGATTGTCTGATAAAGATCTTTTTTATTCGGGTGTCCACAATTATGTGACAAATCATCAGAGTGACTGCGCAAAGTTTGGTTTTGTTCCATTTATTAGATTTTGTGTTAGTGAACAATTCATCGGTCTCAGACAGACAGACAGACATTTTGTTCAGTAATAGGCCACTGGCCCCAAATACATTCATAAATATGATAAGAAGTTAAATGCGTTTTACCAAGGAGACTATATAACGTTGTATATTATCCCTGGTTTTACATAAAACCTGAGAGTCTCTTATTTTCCCAACATTATATAAAAATAGGCACAAATTATTTATAACATTTATGTGTGTTGAAGTCATTATGTTTATAAAACTGTGTTGTGAAATAGGATGTTTCAAATATTTACCCAGAAACTTATTCCTTATATCTAGGTAGGCTTTACAACAAAGTAAAACATGTATATCATCTTCAATTAAATTAAGATTATTTTTGTAGCAAAAAGGACAGACTCTTGAATAATAAGGGACATTGTTATATCTACCGGTCTCAGAACTAAGTTTAAATTTACCGCATCTAAATTTTGTTAAACAATTTCTTAAATATGGGGCAATTTCTAAACTGAGATAAGTTTCAACATTCATCGGTCTCAAATGACATCAAACGGACTATAGCTGGACGTCTTGCACGGTTCCGTTCTCGCAGATACACCGCAGATGTGGTACGGACTGTTGGTGGTGCAAGATTGTTTAATACTTCCGTAATAAAACTGAGTCTGGATAGCAGTTAATAGATCGCAAGTCAGATTTCCTAACTAACTGTGTCAATATTTTAGCAAACTCACCCTGTCATCCCACCAGGGCCCCGAGTTGGTGCTGCAGGTGCTTGGGTGGTCACGTGGTCACGTGGTGTCACGTGATTTTGTTACGTTTACTAAGTTGAAGCCACACAATAATCAACCACTTTACCCTGATGTCCTATAAATATATATTCTCCGTTTGTATCTTTCCATGATCTTGTGAGTGTCAGCTATGAATTGAGACATGAGACATGTTCCCCATCTGCATTCACTGTTATATCTTTGCATTTTCTAGGAATGTGACATTGTCAAAACTGCTATTTTCATGGTCAGCAACATCTGTAACATATGTTATATTTGGGATTACACTTTCTTTGTAAAACACAGATTCTTGTAGTTTCGTTGGGTTGAGTCCCATCCGGGGTTCGAACCCACACCCTCTGAGTCAGGCACCTAATCGCCAGCACACAAAGTCAGACGCCTAGACCGCTCAGCCACCGCAGCTTCCACTAAAAATGGAAGTCGGACAACTGGTAGTCTAGACTGCGGACTTTGTGTACCCCTCTGATAAGTGTTAATTGGCACGGCTCCCACGGCCGAAAGCTATGAAATACGTTACATTTGACCACTTTCTAAATGGCATTGCGTATTTCACAGCAGCATCTGTTGGTAACTGATCTACTGAGTCTTACTCTATGAAACATTGCCCATGGACAAGATACAGTCTGACCAATCCTCGCACATACGGGTGAACCCTGATGAGATCGATTGCTTGATAAACGCTGCAAAACCTCTGCTGTATCCCACGCACTGCTGTCAACATATGACTAATATATGAATTGTAAACGTCTGACTTGAGGGAACCGGACATTATTCGTTCTTAAAATAATCATGGATGTTTTGTCAGTTTTGTACTTGCGTTCCTGTATTTCTCCAGTGGGGTAATTATTCACTCACTCACTCACTCACTCACACTCACTCACTCTCACTCACTCACTCGCTCACTGAGTGAAGACTCTTTAAGCAACGTCATAGGCCGCCAACCACGTTGGTTAAACTTAACCAAGCGATGCAAGAGAAGTGAGAGGGTTTCCCCCGAAACGCCATTAGCAGGCAGTACACCTCCTCAACTGAATGAATGTTGGACAAACCGTTTGAAAGTTACCAGTTTATCCCTATTTTACACCTGTTGACCTTACAGTTCAACGACGGTCATCTGCTGTCATACTTCACTACTGGCTGTTACGTGTTCTCAATTCGATAGTTATTATCACACAACCATACTCAGAAATTAATATCTCCTGTAACATTGAAAATGCTAAGTTATTCTGAATAGCCCCTCCTTGTTTTGAACAGCATAAATACAGGTCAGTAAAAGGTTACGTGTCTGTCACGTGACGTGGGTGAGTGTTTCGTAGGTAGGCTAATCGTGCGACTATGGCGGCGTCTGCTATCCCAATTGTTGACTTCCAGAAGTACGGACTGAATGTTACCGACCCCAAGTCCGTGACGAGTGACGTCCTGGAGACCACGGCCGAGGAGATATATGATGCCTTTAGTACAATAGGCTTTCTGTACCTGATTAATCATGGCATTGAACAAAGAAAGGTAAACAGCATATCCTGTTTCTATTTCTAATGTATTGTGGACCATGTCGAAATGTTTTGGTCGACGGGGAAACCTAATTGCGCCGATAGTTTTGCCATTAAAAGTTACCCCCTTAGACACGAGTGGATCTGCTCGATGATGGGGCCGAATGCAAGATTTAATCAGCTAACTTTCTTTGAATGGCCCTCTTGTGTAATGTGTATATTGGTAAACTGCTGCCATCCATCACTTATAATATGTATATTGACACTGTGCCGGTATGTATCCCCGCGTGGAATGTGTATATTGATACAGAACCGTCATCCTTTACTGTAAATCTAAGACGTTTTGTCCGTTAAAGTATAGCGAGTGAATAACATATATGTCTGGAGTTACCTTGCACCTTGTACTTGTTATCTAGGTTGTGACCTCGTGTCTATTAGCAAACGCTGCAGGGTTAGTGGGAGAGATTTCACTGATACCTATCAGTAACTTTCAAACCGAAGATACGCATCTTGTAATTGACGAGGAAGATTGGGGTACCGTGTTTATCTGACGTGTTTATCTGACTGAGTGATATTGTCAGCACCATTTGGTGAAATATAGCACCCACTTCTGAGTAACTTGTCTGATGTGGATATTGATACAGTGTCACCCATCTCATTCATCACCCATCACACTGATACAGTGTCATCATCCATCACACTTGCAATGAGTATATTCACACAGTGTCATCATCCCTCACACTTGCAATGAGTATATTCATACAGTGACATCATCCATCACACATGTAATGAGTATATTCACACAGTGTCATCATCCATCACACTTGCAATGAGTATATTCATACAGTGTCATCATCCATCACACATGTACAGCATAGGTTTATAATATGCCCTATGTTCTGACATTTGCTGTTTATCCACAAAATTGAAAGTGGTTTAATGATGTTTATAATCTAGTTGTCATGGTTGTACTGAATGTAAAGTTACATCTTGCATGTTTATTCTTTCTTTGATAATTACAACATTTTGTGATAATGAAGAAATGTGTTCCTGACTTTGAATGAAAAAATTCAATTAAATCATTAGTTTCACATTTATGCTCTTTGTCAAAAGCCTTTAATATAAAAATACAAAGTTTTCAGATGATATATTACTGACTTCACCTGAGAATATATATTTGATGGTCACTGTCAAATGTTTCTAATAGTATTATGTAACATTGTGGCAGAAGAGTCCAGGAAAATGTTCTTCATCACAAATATCAATGTTTTGGTTAATGTAATAAATTAACAAATATTGTGTGTATTTATGATATGTGTGAAGGAAATATCTTAACAGGGTGGTTAGGACTGACTGAAAGGGAGGAAGAATGCCAGTTTTTACACTTAAATGGTCAGGGAAAAATCTATACTTGTCAGGGAATAGTCAGGGAAAAGTCAGGGAATTTTGGCCTGCCATGCCTGTGGGAACCCTGACTTGTAGCAAAAACTGTACAGTACGACGCTGCACTAGTCAGGCTTCAACAAGACAGCAAGCTGAAACAAACAGTATAACTCAATCTGTCTTCTGCAGAGTATACAAGCCTAACAGTTTATAAATCATAATTTGGAAGGGCCCATTCAAGAATGTCATTTGAATTCGAAAATAATATTTTAGGTATATTGTTGAGCTTTTTGAAGAATGTAAATAAAATAATTTAGAGTAATCTCCCTTTGCATCACCCCTTCTAGTAAAATAGACGCGTCTCACGTTTTGAGAGATAATTACTTGCTTATATTTGTGATTCATATTATTGTAAACATGTTTAAAAGTTCATATTTGTATTCTAGACCTTTTATTTAACAACAATTCAATAACTTTATACTCTTAACGTACCTTTTAGTGTCGTTCTTGTCGACAGAACGTCGAGTCGCTGTTGACGTGTGGCGTGCTTGGGATAACGTCATAGAAAGGGGCTTGAGAAAGCTTCAATTTGATTAGCAAAATTCGTATTACGGCGCCAATAATTGACCAATCAAACAGTGCCTTATATATTACGATCGGAAACGATGTCGGAAACGTGAATCAAGTGTATCCAGACAACCACGACATACTGTGGTATTTTAAGAGCGCTTCGAAGTGACCAGTCGAGGCCTGGTAGCCTATCACACATCACAATTGCACCAAAGCTATTTACGACATCAATGTTAGTTTGTTTTATCCAGTGTAACTAAATAACACACCAAAACGTTATTTTATATCAGTTGTCAGTGGAACCAGTAACCAAATATATTTTGCAAGTTTTAAATAGAGAGGATAATATGAGATTCGTGAAAGTAGGTCACGCTTCCAATATGGCCAATGAAACATGTGATTTGGTTTGCATGGGTTACTGAAGATCAATTCTAACCCGGATCTTCACCGGTTCTATATATAAGGAAAGGGATGTAACGAAGTCAACACACCAAATTCGTCACAGGACGAATGCAACAATACCCACTGTATATACCGTTATAAAGCTATACTCGCATTCCAAGCAATCAGATTTACTTTACAATAGAAAATGAGACACCGAATCGAAAAATATTTTGTAGCTCTTTCCATAACCACAAAAAAGCATTGCAAAGGGCAGTCGATTATAGGATGTCCATTTTGACATAAGAATGTGTGTACGAATCCTAATAAAAAGTGATAATACTTGGTATTCTCGGAAAGTTGGGCGTATCGCGCCTCACAGGTGGCATCAGTCATGAATACACGCAGAAACAAGTCAATTGTTTGAAATGAGAAAAACAAAATCACTTGGGAACGTATGGTACAATTGAAAAAAGAAAACTGCATCGGTCAAACAAACATCTGAGTTAAAGGATGGATAACCATATATGGATGAACAACTTCCTTATTGCTGTGAGAGCGACGTTAAGTTGTTCATCCATATATGGTTATCCTTCCTTACTGCCCCAAAATTCTAAATGCCTCTCAAAGAAGTTATCTGAGTTAAAGCTGTATGGCGCTTTTGAAATCTTGGTTATGTGTAGAACGACCTGTTTGACTGTCATTTTGGAAGTCGATGAGCAAAAGGAAAGGTTATACTTTATATATGACAACTTCTGGCGTTTTTGCAGTTTTGTAGTAGGGCCTTTCTTGATCTTGCGGTAGGTGGTGGGGTCTTGGAGGATCATTTTGACCATATAGTGGAATTCTGGTGATTTCAGGATGAAATGTGGCCTTGCCCTTGCCGGGCCGGGACAATGGTGATATCCTTGTCATTGCTTAGGTCTATGATAGGTTGTTTTTCGGCATTTATCAGGTTGGATGGTTGTAGATTGGTCTTAGGAAGGATTGTAATAATCTGGTGACGTAGCTTATAAGCTATATATGTTTCATTTTATTTCATGTTGGCTAACTCCCCTAATTACACGCAGTAAGTACCAATGTCCACTTCAATAGGGTTCATGGTGGGATTGAAGACAGCGCCCAAATGGGAACAGACGCCTTCTCTTATTGATCTGTTTATAAGCTATACGTGTTGACAGACATTTTATCTTTTATACTGTGCAAATTTGACTACAACTGATCATGAATTACATTGAATTGTTGAAGTTAAATTTACCAGATTAAATTCGTGAAAATACACCTGTGTATGTCCTTTTGAGGAGAGGATAGTTGGCTCAGCTTCCCTTCATATGTTGTCTTGCTCCAAGGCTGTTTAGGAGTGCTAAGCTTTGCATGTATGGTAAGTCTATCCTTTAAAGAGGCAAGTCTAGATGAGCGGACAGTACATCTAAGGACCCCAGTCTGTTATTTATAATTTTTTAGAAATTATCATTTAAACTATTACCTTTTTCCTTAGAGCCTTGTGCAAGATTCGGTTAGAATTGATCTTCAGTAACCCATGCTTGTCGTTAGAGGCGACTAACGGGAACGGGTGGTCAGGCTCACTGACTTGGTTGACACATGTCATCATTTCCCAATTGCGTAGATCGGGTGATCGTTCATGCTATAATAAAATGTAATTGATATTCAAGTTTGATTACAATACAATTGTTATTCAAGGTCAATTAATGTGCTGTTGTTATTCCAGGTCGATGCTATGTTCGCGGTGTCCAAATCCTTCTTTGATCAACCAATGGAAGAAAAGATGAAGTTTCTTCAAAACCATCAGGATTGTTTTCATGGCTACATTGCCTTAGAGAGCGAAAAGTGAGTTCATTAAGAATAGCCATCCGTATGCATATACATGGATGTTTAATATTCTGAAGTTTCTTGGTCAAAATAGAAATGACGTCGCCTTAGACCACAATGTAATAAACTGTTTTGAGATGATCTGTGGATTAATAGAGTTAGAATTATCATGTATTACAATAGTGGACAAATTCTTATGTTCATGATCACTGCCATAATCTGCATATGACACGAGACACGCAGGTAACTTAACACATGGAAACATTATGTTCTTTACAAACAGCAGTTATTGTGATCATGGGTTGAGTACTCAATTACTAACGTATAATTACTATTGCCTATTTGACTCGAAATAATTTGATAGTGAGCATTACTCACTAATGTTCATGCACTTTTATTTTTGGAAATGTTCACCCTCCATTTAATCATGTCCAATGTGTTGAAGTTTGTTTCAATGTTTTGACAATATAACACGGTCCTGCACACATTAAAACCAAATAACAAGCGTGCATGTAATAGGGTGGGTGTGCTGTATCAGGATCCGCTAACTGAGCGTCCGCTCCAACATGGCCTGTATCATATGGGAAAGAAACCTTTCAAAATGTCCCATTAGACGCAGGACCAGTGAATGGACAATAATTAATGGTCCTGTCTGTATTTCACTGGTCAAAAAAAACATTCGTGGATTTACTTAGCTATCAATACAGAATTCACTGGCCACCACGACCACTGCAAACTTATCATTTAGTGGTCCTGATGAATTTTTACTTGTCAGGGACCACAGTACCAGCGTACATTTCGTACACTGTGCAATGGCAGTGCCAGTGGTCTTCACACAGGATTTAAATTCTTACGCTTCAGGCTTTACTACCACACAATGAAATATTTTATAAATTACTTTTTAAACGAGTATTTTAATCTTGTTTTATTTACCTAAGGGGGGAATATCAAGAACCCCGTTGCGGATTTCAAGGAAGCGTTCAACTTTACAGCAAAGGATGATGGGGTACTTTAATTGTTTATCGTCAGTATGTATTTTAAGGTGGCTATATACGATCGGCGGATCCTGGTTCGGCGGATCGCGTATAGCCGTATTCCGGTGGTTTGGATATTTGCTCATGCTTTCAGTCACTAGTTTTCGTCATTTATTTACTTGTTCTGGGCTATAGTTGCCACTCTTCCGGCTGTTTCTTGGGAATCTGTCAAACTGTCATACGTTAGGTGTCAGTCAATGAAAGCTTGTGTTGTCTTTTATGGGAACAACATGCCATATTTCATTACCAATTTATGAAACAACAAACAACAATCCTTTATATTAGAGTCCTTGGGTGAGCGTCCGTGTGATCGTAGAGTATTAAAAACAAACTCCTTTTCACTGAAATGCAAGAAACTATCTTTATTGTCTAGTTTCCTAAACTAACACTTACAAAGCACGGGTATCAACGCACCTGTGCATGCACATTGTGCAGTCATGTGGCTTATTCCATCGGGTACCCATTTACTGATGGTTGATTAGTGGCAATTTTGAACAAATCCACTTGCCGAAGGCTTGACAAAATGTGTCACGTGTGTTTCGTTCTGGGACAGGACTGAAGTCCTGGAAACTCTTAGGAGTCAAGCTGCCAAACACGGTCATCCATCCAAGGACTCTCTGTAGCTTAAACGTATTTTTATTTCCAAAGAAATCTTGATTGGTAAAAAAAATCTGCTCATGTAAATAGCCCTCCAAAGAAGTCACCCATCCAAGGACACTCTGTAGTTTAAACGTATTTTTCTTTCCAAAGAAATCTTGATTGGTTAAAAAGCAAAATCTGCTCATGTAAATAGCCCCCCAAAGAGGTCACCCATCCAAGGACTCTCTGTGACCAACAATGCTTAACCTCTACCTATTAGTGACCTGGGGACAAGGCCACACAGCACCACCAGTGCAACAATATATGTTTAGTCTCACACAGGCGTGGCTGGCGGATCTTCCCGAATTTAAGTCAACTACCTTCCCCTTCTTCGACGACGTCATACAACTATCAGAGAGAGTCCTCGATGTCCTGTCTATCGGTCTTAAGCTCCAGGTAGGGTATCCATAGTATATAGATTCATGTCCTGTCTATCGTTCTTAAACTCCAGGTATGATATCCATAGTATATAGATTCATGTCCTGTCTATCGGTCTTAAACTCCAGGTATGGTATCCATAGTATATAGATTCATGTCCTGTCTATCGTTCTTAAACTCCAGGTAGGGTATCCATAGTATATAGATTCATGTCCTGTCTATCGGTCTTAAACTCCAGGTATGATATCCATAGTGTATAGATTCATGTCCTGTCTATCGTTCTTAAACTCCAGGTATGGTATCCATAGTATATAGATTCATGTCCTGTCTATCGGTCTTAAACTCCAGGTATGATATCCATAGTATATAGATTCATGTCCTGTCTATCGTTCTTAAACTCCAGGTATGGTATCCATAGTATATAGATTCATGTCCTGTCTATCGGTCTTAAACTCCAGGTATGGTATCCATAGTATATAGATTCATGTCCTGTCTATCGTTCTTAAACTCCAGGTATGGTATCCATAGTATATAGATTCATGTCCTGTCTATCGGTCTTAAACTCCAGGTATGGTATCCATAGTATATAGATTCATGTCCTGTCTATCGGTCTTAAACTCCAGGTATGGTATCCATAGTATATAGATAGATTCATGTCCTGTCTATCGTTCTTAAACTCCAGGTATGGTATCCATAGTATATAGATTCATGTCCTGTCTATCGTTCTTAAACTCCAGGTATGGTATCCATAGTATATAGATTCATGTCCTGTCTATCGGTCTTAAACTCCAGGTATGGTATCCATAGTATATAGATTCATGTCCTGTCTATCGGTCTTAAACTCCAGGTAGGATATCCATAGTATATAGATTCATGAGGTCAAGAAGTTAAGGCTACTCGTACTACTGTCAATCGCTGTTCAGTGTGTTTCGCCGGGTGGCCCTCGAGGACCAAACACTGCTCTCTACTCAAACTTATCCATTTCTGCCGTTTCATTAGGGGTACATGTGATTAGATGTCACGTAACCGGAAACGAGCGACATGTGCATGTCAATATTACGTCAATATTCTTCAATACCATACAGTTATTTTTATCATGCACGTATCAGAAGTGTTTTAGGCTCAAAACCATTTGATAGCCCTTCCTATATTCCTGAACCTGAGGAAATCTAGACATGCTTCATTAAGGCTAGACTGACTCTGAATAGTCTAGTCTCTGAGAATTTATAAATATATAAATAGAAACAAATAGCTCGATTTGAATTGGAAGGAGCTTGTTTCGATTAAGGCTTTTTTGCATTGCACAAAGGGTTGGGAGAAAGGGAAAATAATGTGGTTCAGGGACGGTCAGACAGACTAGCGTGTGACCTTGAGGTTTGGAGCCACGATCAAACAACGCTTGAGCAAGAAACGTATAACGTCTGTCTGAGCGTCCCATAAAGATGTAGCCCTGGAGATCCGGGATAGAATTGGCCTTCAGCAAACAATGCTTCTCTTAAGAGGTGACTAACGGGATCAGGTGGTCAGGCTCTCTAAGTTGGTTGACACATGGCATCGTATCCCAAATGCTCATGTTGTTGGTCACTGCATTGTCTGATCCAGAGTCGATTATTTACAAATCGCCGAGGGCGGCGTTAAACAATCAACAACCAACAACAGTTAGAATAGAGCTTAGAATATACTGTAAAGACGTATAATACTGATCAACATAACGTGAATTTTGGCAAGCTGAACGTGAAGTCACCTGGTGCATGTGAATATGTATGCTTCGGGAAAATATTTATTTAGATTCCCGTGACTGTGTCTGAGGTCGAGTTCTCGTGTTTAAGGATCGCAACTTCCTCCGCGATTGCCACCGTCAGATGGGCAGGAAGGGGAACACCACCACTCTCAGAAGCAACTACTACCCTCCTCTAACTGGACGTAAGTTTTCATGATCATTTCATATTCATTTGGAATATTGTGAGTGAGTGAATGAGTGAGTGGGTTGGTGAGTGAGTGAGTGAGTGAGTGGGTGGGTGAGTGAGTGGATGGGTGAGTGAGTGAGTGAGTGAGTTACAGCGCTGAAGCCAGGTACAGTTGGTTGGTGAAACCAGCTAGGAACGCGTAACTTTAATTTATCTAGAAATGTTCTTGTGATATTTTAGAATGATACGAAACTTTATTGTTTCCAGATAACATTTAAAACAATACATATATTCTTTTGTTAGGATGTGGATTTTGACAATAATGTAATTGTAATTTCAAATGGACAGTTCTCTGAAATGAGCATATAATTATTCTAATAAACTACAAAGACTTTCGAATTCTCCATCAGCAGTCGTGAAGCCAGGTCAGGTTCACTGTGGGGAAGATGTGTAAGATGTGGGGTATGAGGTTGGGTTGTGATGTGATGTGAATAATGAAAAACCATCTAATCAACAATTCTCATAATGAGCACATATGCAATCTAATAAACTATAAAGACTTTCCAATTCTGTATCTACAGCCGTGAAGCCAGGTCAAGCTCGCTTTGGACAGCACACCGACTATGGGACAATAACACTGCTGTTCCAGGACGACATTGGAGGCTTAGAGGTAAGGTTCTTAATGTGTTTCTGGACAAAAAACGACACGAATACAATTGACAAAACGTTTCCATAAGTATTTGCTAAGAGGAGATGTGTCAGTTTCGGTTTATGTGTGTATAATATGTTTCAGGTGATGAACACTGATGACATGCATGTGTTATGACATGTTTCAGGTGATGAACACTGATGACATGTATGTGGTATGACATGTTTCAGGTGATGAACACTGATGACATGTATGTGGTATGACATGTTTCAGGTGATGAACACTGATGACATGTATGGGTATGACATGTTTCAGATGATTAACACTGATGACATGTATGTGGTATGACATGTTTCAAGTGATAAACACTGATGACACGTATACTGTATGACATGTTTCAGGTGATGAACACTGATGATATGTATACTATATGACATGTTTCAGGTAATGAATATTGATGACATATATGTGGTATGACATGTTTCAGGTGATGAACACTGATGATGTGTATGTGCCGGCAAAGCCCATCCCCGGCGCCATCGTGGTCATCATTGGTGACCTGATGCAGCGATGGACTGCAGATCAGCTTAAAGCCACAGTGAGCAGTGACTTAACATTGTACAAGGCCAGGTGACTCATCCACAAAACGTTCGTAGCACTATGCCATTCGTAAGCCTATGATAAAGTATGGAGCTACGATAAGTCGTAACGTTACGAACCCTTTGAGGATCAGGGCGCCGGAGCGAGTAACCTTAATTTCTACTCGAAGTACGCTCGTGAAATTTAACTTTATGATTGTTGTTTGCTTGAGATTATACATTCCGATTGTCACCGCCATATAGCTGAAACATTGTTGAGCGCTTCATTAAAAAACAAACATATATTCCAATTGCTGATGTCACATAACTCAAGGTCTGTGACGCAGTTTGGATCCTACACGCACACTCTTTCGTCATGACAGGGAGCAGTGTTGCCTACAGACTTGTTGTTGGCTTCTACTTGGACATAAATAACTCATTTTATCCTTGACGAGTGAAGTAAATTTCAATTTAGCCAATTATGTATGTTGCTTTCAGTATGTCCCCGTGTCAACAGTTGTATTTAATTTCAACGGGCATTGTTGACTTCATTCTGATATTATTCCGATTTTAACCTTTTTGAACACTCTACTCAGAATCATTATCTGAACAAAAACCTACGTCCATTCTGAAGCTCGTTTTAGGATCAAGCTTATCAAATAAGACATTCATGGATAAAGTTGACCAGATAAACCCTGTAGTTTAGAGTCGGACCCTTGACACTTTTTCTTGTTTTGATATTATTACAAGTGGGAATGGCAAGTTTCTGTCACTGATGCCTCAAATATTGAAATGTTATCCAAATTTATTGAATGCTTAACCTTGATGAAATACCCAAAACTAAATCCAACTAGATAGATATCCAACAACATCAAATCATATATATGACGCTCTTCACATAGCCACGGAATAATTGCGTGACCTTGAATAACAAACTTCAATCAAACTTCAATTGAATTTACGTATGTCATCTTATTTGGTAAAGGTAAATTGGATTAACCATTGCATCTGTCGATCGATCCTAAGTTTGAATCGGATAAAACCTTGGACAATAGTCATTTTTGAATTTATTTCATGAAGAACTCTTGACATCAGTTGGGACATAAACGAAATGAAGTTTTTATAGGTTTTTGACATCATACTAAAACCACAAGATAGGAATTAATAAGTGACTGGGCGTAAATAGTAACGCATATAAACGTTAAACAGCGTGGCACTGGGACGGTTCGGTAGCCTAGTCACGCCATGGTGAATTATATGCTCGTAGTGATACAGCTGCAGTGTTGTTGAAGCAAACAAAGGGGGAAGGGGGATAGCCTAGTGGTTAAACGTTTACTCGTCACGTCCAAGACCCGGGTTCGATTCCCCACATGAGTACTAAGTGTGAAGCCCATTTCTGGTGTCCCCTGCCGTGATATTGATGGAATGTTGCTAAAAGGGGCGTAAAACCCGCACTAACTCACTCACTTGCATGACACTGCTGGTTTAGTACCACCCACTGATCTGCACTGACAATATAGAAATACTCCGTGTGGTTATCTGTGTCAACAGTGTTTGAATGGGTTCTTGGTCACGACTCAACCAATATTGCTGCTTTTCATAGAGAATCCAAACACAAGTCGAACGGGTGCAGAAAAGCAAATTAGTTTCATAGGTGTGTCAAGTATGTCATGAATGTTTCCTATTTTCAGAAACACCGAGTCCTGATTCCTGAATCGGAAGTGAAGAAACGCCAGTACCGACAGTCCCTCGCGTTTTTTGTCAACCCTGATGATGACACCATCATCAAAAGTCTGGATGGTTCCGACAAATACGATCCCATCCTCACTCTGGATTATCTGCAGCGCGAGTTCATTCAGATGTATTAGTTTACCAGAGGCCCTTAACTTTCAAGCTGAGAAGGGCATTTGAATATTTTCCCATCCAGATTCCTAAACGTATCACCCTTGCTTTGAACATGTCATGATTTGATACAAAAACTGAAAAACTGAAATATAGAATGTATGTACATGATAATTGTTTCTAAAGAACACTCACCCATGAGGACATTTTAAAACTTTGTGTTCTTTCAGTATAAAGCTTGCTGATTGAAAACGGATTGTCTCACACATGCTCATTCTGTACAATGTGGAAAGAAAAGTTCATCATTATTTGAAAGCATTTCTGCTTGAATTGTTATGGGCTTCACACTTTGTTTGATTTGATTTAAACATATTTATTCAAGAGAATGGATTGGGTACAAGTTATGCCAACTTATTGAAACCCTCTCCTATTTACAGTGCTTACATGCAAAAGTGAAACAAACTATATGTACAGGGATAGAAAGATATATACAAAATGATATATACAATACAATGAATACATGAATTATTTAGATCATACACATTATATCCAATCACTGAACCTTTTAGAATTTGATATATATTTTTGAACTTCTTTAAAAATGTGAATATTGTCACTATATGGAAGATCTGCACTGCCATTTAATAGTACGTCTAGGTTTGTTGGTGCTTTAATGTTACAAATTCTGCTAATATTTTGAAACATTTCCTGTCTGATAACAGAATACAAAGAACATTCCATAAAATAATGTTGATAATTTTCACAGGTAAATTTACAATTACATTCGGGGTTCTCTATGAGACCGATCCTATATAGATCACTATTTAATCTACTATTTGAAAATCTTAGCTGGGTATGAATTACATTGAGTTTTCTATTACCAAATGAGAAATATCCTGGTGCTTTTGACTTACGAGAGCTTATATGCGATTTAAAACTTTTAAGGGAAACTGATTCTCTAACATATAAAGGGAGATCATTCCAAAGTTGTGCAGATGATGGGAAAAATGATTGACTGTAGAGATTTGTGCGGGAATAGTACAGGGAAAGATCACGAATGTTTCTAAGATTATAATTTGTCCTAGATTCAACAGTTTGCAGCATACGATCACAAAGGTAGGATGGAGCATTTTGTTGTATACATTATAGAATAAAGACAGTTTACGACATCTTCTTCTTTCTTTTAACATTTGCCAACCTGTTTCATATATCAGAGTATCTCTAGTGGCATATTTTGGTAAACCAGTAACTATCCTGGCGGCCTCAAACTGAACTTTTTCAATTTTATCGGTTAAATCTACCGAACAACCATCCCACAATTCACAAGCATATTCAAGATGTGGTCTTATGAATACAATATAAATCTTATTAAGAGTGTCTCTGTTTAACATAAACTTTCATTTTCTCATTGATGAAACCATCAAGGACGTTGTTTTTACAATGTTATCAATATGTGTGTTCCATTTACAATCAGAAGAAAATGTTACTCCAAGATGTTTATGAGATTTTTCCAAACGTACACACTGAGTTTCAAATTCTAAATTTAGAATTGTATTATTATTCTTAAGACTGAAAAGTATAGCTTCTGTTTTGTTGGGATTGTATATCACAAGCCAACGTTTTGCCAAGCACGATAAATATTGTAGGTTCTTATTGAGTGTCTCTTGCATAAGCCTGTGATTGATAGATGAAAATCCAATTGATGTATCATCTGCGAACAAGCGTGCAGCACAATCTAGTTCATCGGCAATATCATTAACATATACTATAAACAGAAAGGGGCCCAGGACTGATCCCTGGGGTACCCCGGCTGCAAGAGATTTGGGATTTGATAATGAACCATTTAAAAAACACCTTTTGAGTCCTGCCACTGATGTAACAGTGTATCCATTTAAGTAATTCTTCACCTATACCGTAGCTTATTAATTTATGCCGTAATCCTCGGTGCCACACTCTGTCAAAGGCCTTTGAAACATCACAAAACACCATGCAATAGTCTTCACGTCTATCTAGAGCTGAGCAAATATTGTTATGAAGTTCTATTAACTGATGAGTCGTAGAATGGCCTACTTGAAATCCGGACTGATATTTGTATAACAATCTATTGTCCAGAAAATAATTAGACATATGCTTCATGACAACTCTTTCAAAGATTTTTCCTAAACAACTGATTAAAGAAATGGGTCGGTAATTACTACAACTAGATTTATCTCCTTTTTTATAAAGCGGCATGACATGAGCTTTATTTTCCCACACTTTGTTTCCATGTGGGGAATCGAACGTTTTATCCACAACAGCTTGTTCAGCTTGAACTGAGCTACTCTACATATGCATGACCCGGGAGGTCAAATGACACAAACAGCAGGTCGAATTAACTTCATTAAATAGGGAAGCGGAGAATGTTATTAATGTTGCTGCCTGCTGCCTAGAACCTCGAACGGGAAACATGAAACCATCTTTAGCTTCTTGTTTAAAGAAAGTAAGGACATTGCTGACGATCGACACTGAGATGTTAAACGGCTACACCCCCCCCCCCCCCCCCCCACCTACGATGGTTTGCTTGCATCAACAACACTGCAGTTGTATGACTTTCAGCATATATTCCACCAGGGATCAAACAATATATCTGATATATATCATGTGAAATGTTGACGCACTGTAAATTGAGCAATTGAGCCTGACCCCCTCAGTCAGTCGCCTCCTGAGACAAAAACAGATTGCCGGGATTCAGTTGCCCACACAGCAGGGCGATGACCTATTTTATGGAGGCGGGCTGGTCTGAATATATATTCATGTTACCCTTAAAAATTGGGGCTCTTGAAATATAAACGTTAGTACCAAGGTTTTAAAAATTGGTAAGTGTTGACATCAAACATGTCTGTAAAACACCAGTTGTAGATGCCGCACGCAGCAGCGCTCAACACAAACGGTGTCGTGTGCGATTTTACCTCCTTCAAGGTCTGTAATTTGTTTAGTTTTAGTTTTACGCCGCACTCAGCAATATTCCAGCTATATGGCGGTCAAGGACGGTAAAGTAATATCTCTGGACCATCATTTCTGACTGATACTTCTCATCATACAGCAATGATTTGGATGATTTCATTAATTGTTTCTGTATAAACTTGCCCTGGAGCTATCGCCATGTTGAAAGTGGCAAAGTTATCATGCAGTCCACTGTGTTCAGTGTTACTGTGATTAGTAGACTGGGTAAACGGTTCCAACAAACTCACAATATTGACGTTTGACCTCGTTCAGGGCGTCTTCAGTCAATACGAAATCGACACGTATCTAGAAACTAATATCTTAAATTGTGGAAATTTGTGAAAGACGGGCTCATTGTCTGGCTAGCTGACAACAACACTGTCAATTGGACCACGGGACTGAAATTTACAGAAGAATTCCAGTCATCATAGCGACATCAACAGAACATCATTTGCTGCCCTTCTAGGATCTGACGATAAGGTTAGTCTGACATCTTACTGTCTTGCACAAGGAGCCCTCTCCAAGTTGCAGTCTGAAGATGATCTCCTGAACGCTCTGTCTTCTGAGACTCTATCAGCCGACAGCGATGAAGTCCCTGGCAGTTCAGCTGATGGTGAAGATGTCCCTGGTGTGACAGAACAGATGGACGAACAAACACCATTCTCACCCCTACGAACTTTTACCCATCTTATTATAACCTCTACCAGCCTACACTCATCCCAACCTCACCCCCAGCAGCCTATACTCATCCAAATCTCATCCCCAGCAGCCTATACTCATCCCAATCTAACCTCTACCAGCCTACACTCATCCCACTCTAAACTCTACCAGTCTATATTCATCCCAGTCTCACCTCCAGCAGTCTATACTCATCCCATTCTCACCTCTACCAGCCTACACTCATCCCACTCTAACCTCTACCAGCCTACACTCATCCCACTCTAACCTCTACCAGCCTATATTCATCCCTTGAATACATGACACTTTTATGGATAACAACTTCATTTTATTCTTTACACGACGTTTCACAGCTAATTCTTGCTCCTTCATCAGGTGAATATTCATCCCAGTCTCACCTCTATCAACCTATACTCATACCAATCTCACCTCCAGCAGCCTATCCTCATCCCACTCTAACCTCTACAAGCCTACACTCATCCCAATCTCACCCCCAGCAGCCTACACTCATCCCAATCTCACCCCCAGCGGCCTATACTCATCCCAGTCTCACCTCCAGCAGCCTCTACTCATCCCAGTCTCACCTCTATCAGCCTATCCTCATCCCAGTCTCACCTCTATCAGCCTATACTCACCCCAGTGTCACCTCCAGCAGCCTATACTCATCCCAGTCTCACCTCCAGCAGCCTATCCTCATCCCACTCTAACCTCTATCAGCCTATACTCATCCCAGTGTCACCTCCAGCAGCCTATACTCATCCAAGTCTCACCTCCAGCAGCCTCTCATCCTGAGTCTCACCTCCAGCAGCCTAGCCTCATAGGCTCACCTCTATAAAGCCTATCCTCATCCCAGTCTCACCTCCAGCAGCCTATACTCATCCCAGTCTCACCCTCTATCAGCCTATCCTCATCCCAGTCTCACCTCTATCAGCCTACTACTCATCCCAGTCTCACCTCTATCAGCCTATCCTCATCCCAGTCTCACTCCTCCAGAAGCTCTATACTCATCCCAGTCTCACCTCTATCAGCCTATCCTCATCCCAGTCTCAGTCTCACCTCTATCAGCCTATACTCATCCCAGTCTCACCTCTATCAGCCTATACTCATCCCAGTCTCACCTCTATCAGCCTATCTCATCCCTCTACCTCTATCAGCCTATACTCATCCCAGTTCAACTCTCTACCAGCTATACTCATCCCAATCTCCTCCATCAGCCTATCCTCATCCCAGCCTCACCTCTATCAGCCTATACTCATCCCAGTCTCACCTCTATCAGCCTATACTCATCCCCTCACCTCTATCAGCCTATACTCATCCCAGTCTCACTCCCTATCAGTCTCTATCCTCATCCCAGTCTCATCCTTCCTAGCCTAGTACATCCCAGTCTCATCAGCCTATACTCATCCCTAATCTCACCTCTATCAGCCTATACTCATCCCAGTCTCACCTCTATCAGCCTATCCCAGTCTCATCCCACCTCACCCCTATCTC